CCCAACTGATGTTCTCATGAGAACATCAATGTGCTCATATGAGAATCTATTTGATGTTCTCAAATGAGCACATCGATGTTCCCGAAAGGTGAAAAATGCTCTCATATGGGAACATCGGCGTTCCTAAAGATCTATTATAAGTCGGCCGATGTTCTCATGAGAACATCCGAAATGTTCCCATGTGAGCACATCCATATTCTTATATGGGCACATCGATTTTCAGAAGTTTGAAAAAAAAAGAATGCTCCTATCGGGGTCGAACCCACAACCTATCGGTTGTGGATCTGACGTTCTTCCCACTAAACTACTCGAATATCTTATTGATGTCAGATGCGAATACGTAGAGATAGTATATGCAATCTGAGATCTGATCGAGATAGATATAGATATAGATGTAGGGATTATGCAGGAATGTATATAGCCTTTTAGTTGAATGGATAAAAAGGTACTTTATTAATATTAGATTTGAACATTGATTTTATCCAATATAGTTTGTGTAATGTTGTGCGCTATCCAGGTTAATCGCTGTTTAATGTTCCTGGTAGCTAGCGCTCTAGGTTTAAACCTGCGCTTCTTATTCTTGTTTGTGTTTAGTCTGTCAATGATATCCTGCAGATCTAAATCACTGTCAGAATACCCTTCAACCCTGACATTGAAATATATTCTTTTACTTTAATAAGTAGTTATTAGGTAATTTTAAATTGCCATTTTCTCGTGCAATTTATAATACGTTTAGTAATTTTATGAATCTTACAGATAATAGAAGTTTCTCTGTTGCCTACAATATGATAGTTTAGCTATTAAAACCATTTTATTCTTGTGGAAAACTACACCTTCTCAAATGAGAACATCGATGTTCCCAAAAGCGCGCATCGATGTTCTGTGAGAACATCAGTTGGGCCGTAGTGATAAGCGTGTATCTTTACTTTAGTATGTTTAAATGGTTGTTGATGTACATTTGAACGCTTTTACTAATAGATCCAAATAGCATGAATTTGAATGAGTGCTATTTGGTGAATTTCGGTTATCAATCAAGTTGCGTTTGGGTGGCTATTTCATTACAACTACGTTGAGATGGTATATACATAGCAGGCCACTGGGCGCCTTATGGATTGTTGGTATAGCTTGTTGAGAGGCCACCTAAGTCGATATGTTTCATGTAGTGTAGGTGGATCTCGATATCTTGACATTAGGGAGATTGAATGTATTGTAGTTCCTGAGGCACATGTGCACACACAATTGACTGGACTTGTAAACATAGATGTGATGTGATACGATAAACATCATCTATGATGCTACACTGTAAAAGGTGGCTTGAGGAGAAAGTGAATGTAGCCTAATATGCATGCTTGTACGCAACAGCTTTTTGCTTTCGTTTTAGATACAGTTGACAACAACCGATTATTATCATCGACTTATTATTACGGGTTCATCATGAGTGTTATTTTAAGAATTCTGGTTTTCAATCAAGTTGAGTTTGGGTGGCTATTTAATTACAGAAAGAACTGCTATTTACTTATTTCTTTGACAGTACAACATATTACGCCTTATTTTTAGGCCAAATTCTGTCCAAAATTAGCCATTTTGAAGCACGGATAACTCATGCTACAAAGCGCTGTGGACGCTTGGAATAAGGCCAAACGTCTCTTCTTAGCTACGCCTTACTTACTGAGGCTTTATCTCAATTTATTTTGGGTCACTACAAACACTACCGCGAAAAACTTAGCGGAAATGCTCTAAAATAGGTGTTTTTGTTGGTGCTTTTTTACAGCCAAAGTATTTGGAAAAGTTGGTGCTTTCGGTACAGGCTTCAAAATTAAAACACTCTAAATTTGGCGTCAATGCGCTAAGTGGTACAAATTGAAAATATTCCATCAACATTGCAGCACAAAGGTAAACCTTATTGAAAATAAAAACTGTTGTATAGCCGATGATATTTACTGCATTACACAACAGTTGAATCCTATACCGTGCAACGTTGTTCAGTTAAAAGACCAATAGTTGCTCATGGGGATTATGACATTGGAATGATATGGTTGGTGGATCTTTATTAATAGAATGCGCTATATATTACTCTTGGGGCAATTGTTGGGGCAGCAATCGTGCGATTATTGGATAGAATGATATGGAAAGCAGGATTATTGATGGATAAAATTTTCTTTTATTGATGGAAATACAGCAGAATATAGAATCATTGCTTTCAAATACATGCAGCGTGCTATACACATGGTAATGGGACGTTGCTCCGTTGGGTAGGCAATTCTTTTGACTCGTTATACAGCAGTTAGCTAGCTACCCTGTCATTCAAGAGCCTCCTGATTGTATTAAAGATAAAGCGGCAGTAGCTATACATGTTTACCCATTACGAAGAGTTCCATACAAGAGTAACAGAGATGAGGATTGACATGGAGATAAGCAGCCAGATTAGAGTTGATTGGCACCCACCACACGAGTATCTAAATGCAAAACTAATGTTAGTCATAGAGTTCAATCCTGAAAAATATTTAACAGCATACCACATTTGCCACGTACCATCATCGTAAACTTGACACACAAGCAGAACAACAACAACAGGATAGGAGGCGGTCATGAGAAACTATAAGAGATGATAGGAAATGTGAGCAACGATGGTACGGCACGATGTAAGATGCACAGAGTGATTGACAACTTACAAATATACTTTAGTATATGCTGGTTAGCGAAGATCTTCCAGCAGCAGCACCAGGGGAGGATGTTCTATTCTATATTCAATGTTTAGTCACTGCCATACTTCTCAGATGATGCTCCTTACCTACCGTTATTCCCACAGAGATGATTAAAACGGTGTGATACTAATAGGCAACAGCCACATTCGAGGAGAACCTACTGCGTTATCATCTGGCGTATGCTGCCGATAATATGTTTTTAATAAGAAAGCCACCAACAGAAACATTTGGTCAGATAAATTACTTACTTTGTACCAGAAAATGAATTGAAATTACGGAAAGAAAAGAAAAGAAAAAGGATTTAAAATAATTCACGAAAAAAATACTCTTTTTATAGACAAAATTTAAAGTTTTATTACAGCATGTCATAACCATCAGAGTAGTAATAGTCATCAGCATCATCATTCAAAGCCCACTCCCCCCAAACATACGTTATCCAACGATCCGAAAGCTTTTGAAAGTCATCAACGTGTTCCCCCTCCATTGTAAAGCACATTGCTACTATAAGAGAAGAATAGACACACTGCATCATTGTATAACTGACTTTGCTTTTTCCTTCCAGACTGGCATCATTCAAACGCTTCGTTAGCACTCTTTCATAATCACAAGCTCGTGCGTAGTACATGAAATGCTAGCTTGGATTATTTTCAATATCAAGCGCAGGTCCAAAGCGATACTTGTAATATTCAACGAAGCGCTTTACAGTGCTACAGACAGATGTGCAATGATAATTAATACTTTATTCAAAGAACTCGCATGACGTATTATTTCTATTCTAACCTCATCAAATCTGCAGAGGAACAGGAACTCCAGCTATAGTCTAGGTAAGATTCACTAGGGTCTCTTGGAACCATTGGGGTTGCGTGTACGCTTCTTGATGCAGCTAAGCGACCAGCAGTAGAGTTGCGGAAATCTTCATTATCATCGTCATCTTCACCCTCATCTGGGCCATCATCACCACCAGGACAATTGCCAGTAGCTCCATTACCAGAAAGAGAAAAAGAAGACGAGAAACCATCAAAAGAGCTACTGTCAGAAGTACTACCAATAGCTCTTGTTGCAGAACGGCGGCGAGTCTTGTGGACAGAAGCCAACAGAGCAGTGGCACCCCAGCTGTTGGTACAACGATGCAAGATGAACCCATACTTCTGCGCATGTGCTTCAAAATACAGAGCATGCTTCAGGATTAATGCCTCATCCACACGACTCCAAGCTGGAACGACCTTGTCATCTACGGCCAAATCGTTGACATAATAGTATTCATCAAGAAGACGTTGGTGATAAACTAGACACATCTTGCGAAGGGCTTTGTATTGAGCAACGACAATCGGATGATTGAAAGCGTAGCCCCTTTCATTGACGTCCCCACTTGACTTCATACTAAAGTTAATGAGGCCAAGCAAACGAGTTCTGGCATCAGGGTAAATGGCATTTCCTTGGGAGTTAACCTTGCCAGAGTTGATCCAGTACTCCAAAATCTCAGGGACAACTGGATTTATATCGCGAGGGCCACGCAAATTAGGGTTTCCTACAGGAGCAGGAGCCAAGTTACGCGCTAAAATAAATAACAATGTCAATGTCTATTTCAATTCAATGTACATCAATGTTTACCTGTAGCAATCACTCTTCCGACATCAGTTTTATTGCCAAAAACACCATCATTCGTGGGTTGAACGGGAGGAAAGGTAGGAGACAACTGCTTGATGAGTTCCAATAAAAGATCACGATTAAGCTTAGACTCTTCCTTGAGTTCACCAACAAAAGCCTTGAGCTCCAGCATCTCTGTCTTGATAGCATCGAGGGGAGAAACTTGGGTGCGAATGGTTCTGTAGTTATTGTCCATTTTAGTGCAAAAATATTAAATTTAACTTATAAATAATAGTTGATACTTTCCTGAAAACCAAGACACATGTTGCACTTTTATACGTTCCACCCTGCTCTTGAATTCTATCTTTGCCATTCCAAGTGTCTTAATGACTCACTACTTGTCTTTATTACTTGGACTTGATAGAGTCTTCATGAGTCATTAAGTCAGTTCAAATTGAGCACCCTCTGTAATAACGCGACTGTAAGTTCGTGTAATGTCAACTGTCAATCATCTTTAAACTCACAGTAGCAAAACATCCAAACATTGAGACACAACCGACACCTTTGTGCAACTTGAAGAGTCAAAAATCACTATTAGTCATAGGTGCTACTATGTACCACAGAGACGATCAAACTACTATTTAAGCTTCACTACACATCACTTTGGTCTTGTTGTCATTCATTTATACATCACCTTATCCTCTCAAAATGCCTGCACGACGAGTTTCAGGAAACTGCGAAAAGTGCCACATGCCTTACAATTCTGCTAGAGCATTGAGGACCCACTATGCAAACTCGACTTTTTGCGAGCCCAAGAAAGCAAGAACAGAAGACACTCCCTTATCGAATAGTCAAGAACGATCCCAGGCAAGCATGCATTCACAAGACGATACTCCAACGGCTACCGCAAGTAATCAAGGAAATCAGTCATTACAGCAGCATGCTGCAGAGCAAAGAATAGAACGTGAGTTGTGTGAACTATAAGCAATGCATGACGTACCGTTCTAACTCCCATCTAAGTGCCATCAATTGAGTCCTTTTCATACTACAGTAGCTTCACTCTTGAACAAAAGGAAGGCCTTCGACATGTATATGATCTTGACACCCTCTCTTACGCCACTGATTTTAATGAAAGTGAATTGCTTTCATTGAAGCTCCGTGACATATTCGACAAGTATCCAGCATCGAGAGAAATGAGTCGTGAAAGTATATACTTTACAAATACAATCATTAAGAATATAGCAGAGGCAGGAGGTGGCACTGAAAGAGGTAAGCATATGAATACCACTATGCATTGTATCTTCAAACGCACTCACCATATTGACATCTCCCTTTAATGCACAAAGGCATTGTGTTTCCAAAGCTGATTCAGTTCGATACTCTAGAGGCGCGCATGAGAAAGAAGACTGGCGTACAAGCATTCATCTACAAGGTCTGTCCTCAAGGCTGCAAAGTTTATCCCAAGAACGATACATCAGTCCAAGGAGTGTGCAATCACTGTGGAACTCCCAAAAGCGAAGCACAAAATATGAAGGTCTTGAGCATCGGTGATCAGCTAGCAAGAGTCTTGAGTGACAAGTCCAAACGAGATGAGCTCATGTCGTATCGACGTAACTACCAACATGATCCACATTTTTACCGAGACTACTTTGACGGTCAAGAGTACATTAACTTTCAACAAAGACGGAAAAGACATGGCACCAACGTAGATGAGGAACCTATTCTGCTTGCCTTGTATGTCGACGGCTTCAAACCCCAAAGCAACTCTTTTGCTGGCGATACCTTAACGCTATTCCACGTTGTAATTTTGTCAGCCCCTCCACACCTCAGGTGAGTTATCTCTATTTGTATGGGTATAATATCCAATTAGTACCGGATTCTAACCACCAACGATATTGCATTTATGTCTACCAACCCACAGATACTTGGATGACTGGACCGTTCAGACAATGATTGCACCCGGCAAGAAGGCTCCAGTGGATCTTGAAAGCTACTTGGCTATATTTTGTGGACGAAATTCGTGATCTTAGTGAACATGGCATGCTGGTTCGAGTGAATGGTGGTGAAGTTGCCCGAGTAAGCGTTCATTTGGCAATGGCGACAGGCGATCTTGTAGAAGTATCACATTTGATGTTGCATGGAGGAGTCTCCAGTCAGTTTGGCTGTATGAAGTGCCTCATAGACACACAAGGAGGCCAATGCTTTACTCGCACAATCAGAAATTTCCAATACAGAACTCTCGAACAACTGAAAGCACCACTGCCTGTTGGCGTAAAACATGTGTTTGTAAGTGAAGCGATTTCATTAAACAATCATGTATAGTTCTTGTACCAACCATCATCTCTTCTATAGAACATCAAAGGACCATCCATATTTACCACTCTCAAGTCTTTTCCTGCCAACCCATCGTTCTACGGTCTCGACACACTTCACCTACTGAGCATTGGATTAGCTAAGCATTTGTACGAGCTCTTGTCTTCTCCATTGCATCCATCCAAGTTTGATAACCGATACAAGCCCTCTATCGAAGAACTGAAAGAAGCAAAGCTTGATAAAGCAAGTGCCTGGCCTTACACCTTTGATTTAGATCCCAAAGTTCTGGCAAAGATCGGTCAGTATGTGGCTCAGTCAAAGAAGACCATTCCAACTACCTTCAATGCACCATTCAACGACATTTTTGCACCAGGAGGAGTTACCAACTACCGAGCAGTTGACTATGAAGAGTTCATGATTTTCATTGTTCCAGCCCTGATAGCACCACACTATCCTGACTCAATCAGAAAACCTCTTCTGGGTATCGTTAAAGTGGCAGCTTTGGTATTGCAGAAGAATGAATTGCATGCTTCAGACTTACAATTCATAGAAGCGTAAGTATTGGCATCTTGAATAACAAAACCCGTTTTATCCACAGACTAAAAACTTACTTCTTTCTATCTCTGCACAGTAAGGTTAACGATTGGCACAAACTGCTGATCACTGAAATCAAAACCAAACGCCTTCCTATCAAGACCTTTCGACCAAACGCCCATTATTTAGGACACTTGACTTACATGATCAAAGCGCAAGGTTTACCGGCTTCGACTTCCAGTCGATCTATCGAAAGATCCATCGGCAGGTACAAACGCTTGATAAGTGCTCGCACAAATGTTGGTATAAATGCCGGAAACATCATTGATCGTTTGGCAATTATGCGAGCCATCAAGGCATCTACAACTGGTGATGGTACAGGCGATGGTGAAGACAAACTGAATGATCTGGATGCTCGAATCAATCTCTTAGTGCCTCGACGATACGATCCAACTACCTTCGTAAATCTAAAGAATGACAATGGCAACGGAAGTCAGCTCTGGTATCCAGTCATCCACACAACGGTTTCAAGTATCCCAACCTCCATCAACGTCAACACACCTCTTTTTGTCAAGGCTATACAGTCCTACTACGACCGGCAATACTCAACTAATGTTCTGCAGAATGTCCATATCAATGATCAACTGGATATTGTCGTCTCTGGAAGTGCCTGGGCTTACAACTGCACTTATCGTTCAGAATACTATCGCGATCTCACCGGTGCTAATTCTAGAGGAAGCCACTACATCATGGTATGGGCAGAACACTTGAGGTATGCCAATTCACAGGTTCATTATTGCCTTTATCGTTACTCATCAAAACCCACATTGACGTCTGAATTTCCTACAGTAACTCTCGTCGCAAGGTCAAAGCTTTCTATGTAGGGGCTGTTATTTTCATGTTCAAGCTCGAAATTGAGGGGATTGGCGATGAGTTGTTCTTGCTTATTCGATTAGGAAAGACTCATGCTGTTGACGACAAAGACAAGACGATGCCCATAGTGGAGCTGGATGATGACCAGGATTCATCCGCATATCTGGTGTGCACATTTGAGCAGGTCATTTGCCAAGTTGGTCTGATGCGTTTTAGCGAGAATGACAAGAGATATAAAGTGATAACGAAGGAAAAGGTTTTCCGGGCCTCGATAGAGACTTATAAACCTGGAAAAAACTCATTTGTGCTACCTCAATAATAAAGATAAATATAGATTTTATCATCGTATTATTACCCCCAACAAGTTAACAGACATTCAGCTTCATGATGTCGTTCTCCTCTTCTTCGCTTCTTCCCTTTTAGCTTCTGACATCAAAGACATCCCATTCATCTCACTACACAACGCTCAGTTCCTTTAGTATGTGCCGAAAAGCACCATTAATTGCGGAGTAGGTGCCCCAACCTTAACTTGAGTAAAACACTAGTGCGAATAGCACTGTTACCAGACAATGGCATCTTAAAATTGTATGAAATTCCTATTTTTCCTTCATTCAATTGCCAATGCTTTTATGTCTCACCCTTGCTATTAAAACCTAAGCGTGTATACAAAACAGATTCCGACAAATGTCTTCTTTTTTGCCGTCTCCCTCACCTTCCATTCTTTATTGAATTCTTCCTTCTGTTTTCCCCTCGTCCTACTATTACTTAAGGCTTTGAACACTGATTTTTTGCAAATATCAACGAAACACAAGGGCCACGATGGTTAAAATTCCGCCCACAACAATCTTTTTGCTCTTGTAAACCGGAAAGGTTCTATTGAGCTGTTTCTCCCGTATCTCTAAGATGATTTTTACCACTTTTAGCATCAAATAGGTGTTTCCTACTGCTTTTAGCGCTGAATACGCTGCTAGCTCCTACTTTGAAGCGGTATTTTAAATACAAAAGACTTTCAAGATCCAACGCAAATATGATTCTGATAAATTTCAGTTTTCCCCTTTCCTTCATGGTTTATACGGTATTCTTCAATGAATGTTTACTTGATCTCTCTTAGTTTTGATAGAATAGTGATAGATCTGCCGTTCAATTGTACACATAGGAAGGTATTACGAAAAAACCGAGAAAAACTTTAGATATTGATATTGTGCTTAATTTCCTGCCTAAACATGCAGAACAAAAAAGCTATATAAGAACTAGACACCTTGATAAACACAAAAAAAACTATCCTGAACACCGCATGTGCAACAATCAATTTTCAACTGCGAGATAAAGTGTTTAGAGGCCATTCTCTTTAGATTTGTTCCGGAAACGTATATAACAAACTAGATGTATAAGAAGAGGAAACATTGGGCAATCGTATTATTATTCTTGAGCACCCGATGACCCTTTGGGAATTCATAAATTGACATTTACTCGAAAAATATGCCTAATTTGCTTCTTTTTACATATGTTTATAGATAGATTTTGAAACCTTCGTTAGGCTATAACAAACTATACGTGCTGCAATCTTTATTTCAAAGTTTTATATACTCAAAAAAATGTGTTTTTGTGTAATATATTTTGTCCTTACTTCCTCAAATGGTTAAGCATTTGATGTACCTCCATTTTTTGTGATACCACTGATAATTCTTTATTGAAAAAAAATCCAATGCACCTTCAAAACCCCAATTTTGGTGCAAATGATCTAAGTCTTGGTGCTTTTGCTCTAAACTTGGTGTATTTGCACCAAGGTTTTCGCCGTAGTGAAATTCATGAAAATCCTTGACAATCAAACGATCGCGTTTTTCACCCGAGAAATGGAGACTTTTTCTATGATACTTATTAGATCAAATTGATTGTAATGGTAAAACGCAACATTGAAAACTATTTCTCTGGAGCTTTTATATGCTAAATTTTGACATATTGGCAAAAAACCTGTTTTCATATTTTTGCAAATTGTTCATTATTTTTGGTGTGAAAGCTGAATGCAACCAGCATCATTCGATGCGCCTTTATTGACTCTTTATAGATGCATTAGAAAGTAAAGTATAACAACGAAAGTTTTCATAGTCAAATTTAGCAAAAACGTTTAAAGAATGTGAAATCAAATCAAATTTGAATACAAAAATACCCACTGCACAATTTCAAATTAAAATGCAGCAGTTACTACGGCTGCCACAACAGAAAACTGAGACCAATACTATTGGCCGTGACGTCGGATAGGTCGCCCTCTCATTTTTCCATACCACCGTTTTTTTTTTATCCTTTTTGCAAAACGCGTTTAGTATCAAACCATACTGGTTTTGGAACCTTTTTAATTGAAAATAACACTTTATTATCTGATAACACGGTCTTGCACTGTCAAAAGTACTTGATACTGCTTCTTTGAGGTGGAATACAGTAGGTATCATTCGATAACGAGCATTGACATACTTAAAATCAGCACTAATCGAATTTGTTTATTAGATTTCGATAATTTTTTGCCTGTTTGACGTAGGTGCTGCTGTCATTACTTTTCTGTTATCTCTGCTGTCTGCTTCTTTGGCTCATCACGTCTAGTGGTTGCTTCTTTGGTTTCTATCTTTGGCGGTTACTTCTTTAATCTTTGTCTGGTCTCTGGTGTCGCCCGTTCTTCGTTTTTCTAGGTTGTTATTGTTGCTTCTGGTGTTGCTTCTGGTATTGCTGCAGGTGGTGTTGCTGCTGCTGGTCTGGCCTTTTCTGGTCTGCTATCTGTGATGTATGCTCGTTCTCTGGTCTATCTCTGGTGATTGCTTATTCTCTGGTCTATTTGTGGTGGTGATAAGTGGTAACTTCTTTGGTCTTTGTCTGGTTTCTGCTTGTAACATTCGTTCTTTGGTTTTTCTATGGTGTTGGTGTTGCTGCTGCTGCTAATCTGGTCTTTCCTGGTCTACTGTATTTGGTGCATGCTCGTTCTCTGGTCTGTCTCCGGTGATTGCCCATACTCTTTTGGTATATCTGTGGCTGCGGTTAGTGGTAAGTATGTCCTTTCTTCTGGTCGCAATGATATAAAACTTCTTTGAACGCTTATATTATTGCTTCCTTTTTCGTGATAATGCATTCATGATGCTTGCGTTGTTGCGTTTTTTTTCTTCTTTTTCTTTTGTTGGTAGTGTTTCCTCTGTAACTTTATATGAAACAACATTAGTCATTATGCTGTATCGCAAACTTATAATACCACTGTTGCTTCTGCAGTTGTGCGTATTTGTGTCATGTTGCTTTACATCCGACTATTACTACCATGCACGTTGCTCATGCATGCATTTTTTTTGCAACAACAACGAGCTTTTTTAAACATCTTTGATGTTGTAATTGTAATACTTTTCTTTGGCTCGCTTCGTGTGAGTGTCTCTTTTTTGCCTACATACTACTATGCTCTTAGAGTATTATGTACTTTTCTTCTTACTTTTATTATTATTATGTTTCATTTGGAGCATACCTTTTTTACGTTGTGGTGGATGTGCCTATCGCTGAAGCTCAACAAGACTTTATCCGAGGCTAGGAGGGAGATAGGCTGTCTCCACTTGGTTATCACTACTTACTTTAGTGATGATTGAGGGTCTCAACGCCAGAATCTAAAGCTAGATGGTGTAAGTAGGGCATGCTCTAGCGCCTGAGGGAAATTTGATGATAGTAACAGCTATATTGCTATATACAGCGGAGCTTAAAATTTTGCCTCACATCAAAACAGGGGGAAACCCTCGCAAAATTTTTTTTAGGTCAGCGGAGTTTTCAAGCGATTTGATTGGCTGAGGGGTTGAAAGAGAAACGGTCTATAACTAGTTGATTTTCTGTTGGTCTGCCATTTAATAAGATATTGTCTTTTGTAATAATAAAAGCGTACTTGAATGGAAAGAATTGAAATCCTTCTTTGTTCAAAAGTAATTGTTAAGCACAAAGAATAAAAGGATTATTATTTGTAGCTTATAAAAAATGTTCGATATTATAAAAACAAGAAAAGACTTATTTGAATAAGATCAGACACAAAAACTAAAGATTTATTGATGAAGACAAGAGTTATTCTATTTATACTAAGTTCTGAATGCCAAAGTAGCAATTTATCTTGTACAACGCTTATCACATCTGGTGAACCTCAGTATTTAGATAGCTGAGATGCACTTCACTTATCATAGCTTGTCCATGTTGTTGCACAACATAGACATATCTACCCATCAAGAATACCTTAATCTTTATAGGCAGTTGTAGCCCTTCTGGCACAACATTGCCCCCCCAGATTCAGGTACTTCTTGTGGACATTTCGTAATCTCAGATTACAAAACATCATGACAATATAGCACATAAAGCACTTTCCAATAAATAATTACCAAATGACACTGCATCCGAGATCAGTCAGTAAAAACCTTGTGTAAAAACCTTTCATAGGACAAAAATGTAAGGAAAAGACTTGATCCCATCATGCTAGTAGCCATTTAAGACCTGTTTGATCTACCACTCTGACCAATTTCGCGAGTAGTAATAGTTCGCCAGTTAACTGTTTGAGGAGCTAACCTACGTTTACCAGCAGCCTTTGCACCTTCTCTTCGAGCCCAATACAACTCAATGTGTTTGGCCGAATCAAAGTTTTTCACAGGCTCCCAAGTATCTTCACTAGGATCATCGAACCCTTTCCATTTTACCTTATACTCATAGTTACCAGGAGATCCTCTATGATCAATCACAGCTTGAATTTCGTAATGCTCTGCAGAGAATTCATCAATTGTGATTGATTGAGGATTCGCAGCGACTTGGTACTTGATATGATGGGTAGGCACATCTCGACTAAGGAGTGCACCCGTCTTGTCAGCCAGCACATAGGAACCTTTATCGGTTATACTATGAATCAAATAAGGTCCTTCATACCGTTCATCTAACTTATTTTGACGATGAACATTTTTAATCATAACTTTACTACCAATAGGATAGGGTTCGGCAATGACCTTATGTTTCTTCGCAAAGTTAGCATGATCAGCATTTTGTGTATCCACAATACGCTTAGAAATAGCCGGGATAAGAACATCTTGTACAAAACGGTATCGTTTGTCAATGAGTCTGTTATCAGCTTTCTCCAAACGTTTGGAATAGTCCACCTTTGAGTAATCAGCCAGACCATTTGGTTGACGATTAAACAAAAGCGTATACGGACGAGATTTATGTAGCCGAGCATACTTGACATTGATGCAGTAATTCACCCACGGAATGAAGTGCTCCCATTGATCCCTCTTACCTTTTAGCAACTTGATAGTCGTTAACTTACATATTTTGATA